TCCCCGCGGGGCGGGCGGGGCGGGGTCAGGGTCTCACACCATCCAGGTCACCTGTGGCTGTGACGTGGGACCCGACGGGCGCCTCCTCCGCGGGTACGAACAACACGCCTACGACGGCGCCGACTACATCGCCCTGAAGGAGGACCTGGCCTCCTGGGCTGCGGCCGACATGGCTGCTCAGATCACAAAGCGCAAGTGGGAGGCGGCCGGTGTGGCAGAGCGTGAGAGGAGGTTCCTGGAGGGGGAGTGTGTGAAGTGGCTCCGCACTCACCTGGACAAAGGGAAGGAGACCCTGCAGCGCGCAGGTACCAGGGGCCCAGTAGCCGCCCCCTCTCCCCGGGGCTGTGGCTCCTACAAGGAGACAGGACAGGGGGTCAGTGTCAGACACCCCTCATTGGGTCAGGGAGGGAGCCCCCTGGATGTCAGGTCAGGTACCAGAGGGACCCCCCTCCTCTCAGGGACAGTTAGGGGTGCAGGCTCTCCTGGGGTGCAGGGATTCCCCCTGAAATAGCCCATCAGCGTATCCCATGAGCCCTGCAGGGGCTGTGGGACCCACGGGGACCTTCTCTCTCAGGCCTTGTGCGCTGCCCACACCCACTGTGTCTGAGGCCTGACCCCAGCTTTTCTGAGTCATGTGGCCTCCACTCAGTTCACGACCATAAATCCCTTTTCTCCCCCTCAGAGTCCTGCCTCCTGCCCTGGGCTGTGTCTCTCTGATTCTAGAACTTTCTAAAGACTAGGAAGACATTTAGATGTTTCTGTCCTGGCTGCTGTGGGCTGTGTGCTCCCTCCCACACCCCAGGTGGCTGTCCACTCTCAGGATGGTCACATGGGCGCTGCTGGAGTGTCCCATGGCAGATACAAAGTTCCTGCATTTTCTCTCCTCCCCGCAGACCCTCCAAAGGCACACGTGACCCACCACCCCGTCTCTGCCCATGAGGTCACCCTGAGGTGCTGGGCGCTGGGCTTCTACCCTGCGGACATCAGCCTGACCTGGCAGCGTGACGGGGAGGACCAGACCCAGGACATGGAGCTGGTGGAGACCAGGCCTGCGGGGGACGGCACCTTCCAGAAGTGGGCGGCCGTGGGGGTGCCCCCTGGAGAGGAGCAGAGATACACGTGCCATGTGCAGCACGAGGGGCTGCCTGAGCCCCTGACCCTGAGATGGGGTGAGGAGGGGCCATGGGCACAGAGCCTCTTCTCAGGGCATCAGGGTCCCTGGGGTCAGGGCCCTCACCCTCCCTTCCCTTCTCCTCCCAGAGCCGCCTTCTCAGACCTTCATCGTCTTCATCATCCTGGGCATCGCTGGGGGCCTGGTTCTGCTGGGAACTATGGCTTCAGCTGTGATGTGGGGGAGGAGGCGCTCAGGTGGGCAGGGGTGGGGTCTGAGGCTGTGGCTGGAGCTGTGATGTGCGGGAGGCGGCGCTCAGGTGGGCAGGGGTGGGGTCTGAGTGTCTGTCCCAAGCCCAGGTAGACGTGTGTCCCGCCTCCTTCACGGGAAGCACCATCCCCACACGTGTGATGGCCAGTGTGAGGCTCTGTGCACATACTTACTACTTAGTGAGGCCCTAGGGAAAATGAGGGACCCACTTATCAACTGATGATGCGGGTGGTGTGTCCCCGTCCCCAGCAGTCCCAGCTCAGAGGGCAGGTCCCTGCTGAGCACAGACCTCCAGGAGGGCGGTGGGACCAGTCCCCACACATGCACTTCCCTCAGGTTTCCTGGTCCTGCCCTGGGTCTATACACATGGTTCTGGAAACTTCTCTGGGGCCCAGGACTAGGTCTTCCTTTAGGACCTCATGGCCCTGACTCCTCCCTGGTCTCTCACGGGATGTTTTCTTCCTGCAGGTGGAAGTGGAGGGAGCTACGCTCAAGCTGCCAGTGAGTATGGAGAGGTGACCCCTGAGTTCCTGTTACAGTGCAGACGGGAGCCATGTGGGCCCTTCCCCCCATAGTTCCTCCTTAGTCTTCTGCCCATGGGCTCTGACCCTGTCATGGTGTGTCCCCCCCAGGCAGTGACAGTGCCCAGGGCTCTGATGTGTCTCTCTGGGCTTCTAAAGGTGAGACCCTGCCATGAGGAGGGGTGGGCAGAGGGGAGGATGGGTAGTGGGGAGTCTGTGGGACCCTGTGAGCATGAAGTGGACTCTGAGAATGTCACCAGTTACAGCCACTGACCTGAATGTGTTCATGATGCTTGTCCTCCACAGCGTGAGGCAGCTGCCTTGTGGGGACTGAGTGATGGAAGATGTGTTCAGGCTCCCACTTCCTGACTCAGGAACCTCTGATTGTGGGCTGGCCCCGCCCTGCTCCCCAAGATTTCCGGTCAGCAGAGGGGAGCTGGGTCCTCCCCATCCGTGTTTACTCCCCCGTGCTCTGAGCTGCAACTTACTGCTCCCGAATTGAAATGAGTTCTTGATGTGATCTTCTTTGTTTACTTGTTGCCATGAAGGTTTGGGGGGTTAATTAAAGGAAAAGATCCTAAAATCTGAGAGGATATAAATTGAAGCATCAAGAGCTTTCCAGAACCGTGTGTATTCTATGGTTGTCACCAGTGGGATGGGAAAGGCTGTGGGACTGAGTTGGCTGGGGCCTGTGCCTGGTCAGTGCAAAGAGTATCGTGGCCTTTGACGTGGTCACTCCTTGGCCGGGTCACCTCTCTGCTCCTCTGACCTTGTCCCTCAGTGGAACCCTGTCCCACCAGGACCTGTGGTCACAGGAATTCAGGCCTCCCCCAGGCCTTGTCACGTGTCCTAATGCAGCGCATCTCCAGGACCCTGGACGGCGAGGCCTTCCTGGGCAGGTCAGCCTGGGCTCAGGCCTGGGTCCCGCCCTTGGCTCTCATCTCCTGGGTGTTTGTTGTTTCCTTGTTTTGGTGAATAGTCTGCCTGTTCCTGCTTTTGTGTGAGAGC